AGGGTTCAGATCCCACATACAGACCGGTTCCCGCTCACTGGCTGAGTGAGGTGCAGGCGCAACACCGAGGGTTGCGATCCCGTTGCAGGTCCTGGTCCGGTACGGTGGCGACACTGAGGGTTGCGATCCGTTGCCGGACACAGAAAAAGACAAAAAAAAAAAAAAAAAAAGTAGCTACTCCACATAATTCATGGTGCAACTATGGAATTGGCATGTTACCAACTCAGTGCCAGGGCAAAATCCGGCAATAAATATTTAACTGAGTAACTGCCAACAGAAAGTCTGTTAAACTCTGTACTTTATTTTTTTATTAAGAATGGAAAATAACTTACTTTGCTAGTGGTAATGATAATTAAAATTAAATAATAATTGTCAAGTGTTTGGCAAAATACCCAACACTTAATAAAATTGTAATTAAATAGTTCTGAGAATGTGGGAATTTTTAATTGATTTGTACAGATAAAATATATTATTTGTTTTCTAGAATAAAAAGTAATTCGGTGCCAAATGAGTGAGATGCACACATACACACGAGGGGTCTTCAAAAGTTCATATTAGCTTCTAATTCCATTCTCCACGAACTTTTTGAAGTTCTCTCTCTCTCTCTCTCTCTCTCTCTCACACACACACACACACACACACACACACACACACACAATTCACCCAGCTTGAATAATTGGGGGAGGGGGGCTTTAAGATCAGCCTTACAGTTAAGTCAAGAGCTATGCCAGATATGCCAGCAAGTGGTCCAGCCATAATGTGTGGGTCTGGTTGCACTAATTTCATTTCCAGGTATTTGTGTATGTTCTGCCACCTCCCCAAGTTGGACTATGGTTGTTATCAATCCTTGGTGTTCCTTGGCTTATACATGCATCATTCCAATCTGTCATCATTGTCACATGACATTCTACTCTCCATGTCTCTGTTTCCTTATAAAGACTCTAGTTATTGGATTAGGGCCCACCATAATAGAGTATGATTTCATCTTAACTAATTACATCTGCAAACAACCCTATTTCCAAATAGGGCCACCTTCTGAGATTTAGAATACACTTGAATTTTGGGGGGAAACTGTTCAACCCAGTATAGGCTCATTTACCTGTGATACCCAGGACAACTCATCCAGTATGTTTCTTTGGGAGATCTTAGTCTAAAGTACATAAGCCTGGTGATATGCATCAAGTGTCTGAAAACTATCAAGCCCTTTTGATATGTAAATGTAATTCCACTCCTAGGAATTTATCCTAAGGAGTGCTGAAAGATTTAGGTACAAGGATACTTACGAAGGCATCATATATAATAGCAATGAATAAATAAACAGACAAGTGAATAAATCTATTCCAACTGTAGGGGAATTTATAAAGTAGCTATGTAATATTTACTTGATAAAATTACTCTATTTAAAATGTTGAAGTATATTTAATGTCATGATAAACTACTCATAATATTAGATGAAAAAAGGAGGGAAAGGAGCCGTAACCAGCATTTTAAAGGCAAGGGCACATATGCACTTAAGATAAATATGGAAAAAAGATAAGGCTATGTTAATAGTGATTATCTCTGAGTGGTGTGATTAAAAGTAATTTTTTTTGTGAGGTCCTTCAATTAATGCTTCTGCTATCTGAAGGCAACAAAATATTATTTTAATATCTATTAACTTTCAATTAGCCTTTACTAGGACAGGGTTGTGTTAGAATTCATGGCACTTTTCAAGATTTCTGGATACTTAGAGTTTTTACCTAGAAGTCACATTAACCTTTTGTCCCAAAATATAAATGAGAGGATTATTTTTATTGTCAGATTATTATTCACCAGCGTGTATGACAAGTAAGTTTATTAATAGCATATGGTATAAGTTGTGTGACCAGAATGTTAATAAAATATTCAATTTCAACAGCCTACTCAACTTTAGATGAAAGTGTCATTTATTATAGTGCAGATTTGCAGCTTTCAGAAAGCTGCAAATATTTAACTAATTTGGTGTTTATGTTCTTGTTTGCTACTAGTGCTTTTGGTCTACTAATTCTAGGCATATTATTTTAACATATTGTCAGATTGTATTTGTGGTTAGGTAGGTCTTCTACCATGTTTATTCATTTCGATATCATCATATGCCATGTTAAATATAGTTCTTTGGTTTTGGTTTCACTGTTATTGAAACACAGATTTCCTATTCAGGACAATAAAGTAGACATCAATTTAGCCCAATTCTGAATGGCATAGGTTTTGATTAGAGTAGATTCTTCATTAACATTGGTTTTTCATTTATAAAACCGTTCATTGTTTACAATATTGCAACACTGATCATGAAATAGATATTGGTGAAGATATATATTTGTATCCTGGGAAGTCATATCTGTCATATATTATTATGTATATAAGCCTGATTTCTGTAGGCTCTTAATTTTAAATATTCTTGACATTTCTAACAATCCATCATTTGAATTTCGTTAGTTTTTTTTATCAGCCATCCAGCCAGTTCCTTTATTTTAAAATACAATCTATCAAACAAAGTACCAATGTACAGTTGAAGATGACAAACTGAAATAATGAGTGCCAGCTTACTGGGATCATAAAGAATCACATTTTAAAATAGTGCCATAAATTCAGCAATATCGAATTTTAAAATCCGCATACTATTTGTTCTAGAAACTCCATTTTAGGAATTTATCTTACACATATATAGAAATGTGAAATGGCATGCACAAGGACATGTTCTATAGCCTTGTGTATAAAAGTTAAAGATTGGGAACAGCCTAAATGCCTGTCAGGAGGCTATATTAGTTAAGTGTATTACAAAACATCCATTCAACAGACTTACACAGTCATTAACATGAATTACTCAGCTTCATGGATACTGAATCAAACAATTTCCCAAGTGTATTAAATGAAAAAAATAAGGTACAGAATAAAGAACGGTACCATTAAAATAAACGCAAACACAAACACGTTCTTGAATAGACCTGGAATATCTCTGGAAGGATAGTAAGAGACTGGGAGCAATGGTTACTTCTCGGAAGAGAAATGGGTGAATTTTAGACCATTTGCTAAAATTACTTCTTGAATTATTTTTTAATTACTTCACATGGTACCAAGCAAGAGCTCAATAAATGTTTGTTGATTGATTTTTTTCAAGTGCCTATGGAACATTTGACAGCTCCAAGTGTTTCCACAGTGTGCACTTCTTATTCAGAAAGGCTGGCTGTTTTATTTTGTGTCTTGGATCATGAATAGACTAACTAAATAGGCCTGAGCATCTGATTCGTAATCTTCTCATTTACATTTTAAATAATTCTGGTTGTATTTTTTGGTTTGACACTGAGCAATGCAGACTTTGTAGGTAGTCACTATTTAAGATGCAAAATAAAACCATTCATCAGAAAGTTGTCTTCAAAGGCTGAGTACATTTCCTTTTTCTGTTTGTTAAAGATCCGTGCTTTGTGAACTTCCATCAGGTGTGAAAGACAACTTACTGCCTTCCTGGGAAAAAGTGGCCAACAAATAATAACACAAAAATTAATGAATTTTATGTAATATCTTATTTATTGAATAGATTTCCCTGTAAATATTATCCTCATATTCTTTAGCAAGACCTGTTCTGGAGATAGCAGTTTCTTCAAAGAAAAATAATTAGTCTGTTTCAAACTTAAAATTGATGGTCTCCCTGAGTCTTATGAAAACTTGGTAAAATCCTAAGCTTGTAGTACTCTTCCACTCTTGAAAGTACTCATCTTGTTTAATAGTTTCTGGAGCTACATTCTCTGAGAAAAACAAGAGCTACATTTTAAATAATTTATTCTGGTTGTATTTTTTGGTTTGACACTGAGCAATAAAGACTTTGTAGGTAGTCACTATTTAAGATGCGAAATAAAACCATTCATCAGAAAGTTGTCTTCAAAGGCTGAGTACATTGCCTTTTTCTGTTTGTTAAAGATCCGTGCTTTGTGAACTTCCATCAGGTGTGAAAGACAACTTACTGCCTTCCTGGGAAAAAGTGGCCAACAAATAATAACACAAAAATTAATGAATTTTATGTAATATCTTATTTATTGAATAGATTTCCCTGTAAATATTATCCTCATATTCTTTAGCAAGACCTGTTCTGGAGATAGCAGTTTCTTCAAAGAAAAATAATTAGTCTGTTTCAAACTTAAAATTGATGGTCTCCCTGAGTCTTATGAAAACTTGGTAAAATCCTAAGCTTGTAGTACTCTTCCACTCTTGAAAGTACTCATCTTGTTTAATAGTTTCTGGAGCTACATTCTCTGAGAAAAACAAGAGCCACGTTAACTCTTTTATTGATTGGCCTTTATTCAGGTACCTAAGGAATTTGACAGCAATCCCCAATTCACCTTCATATGCCCCCTTAAAGGCACATTTGCAAATCAAATCTCTGGAATTCTCTATCTGGTAGTTCTCAAAATAAAATAAAAGCTACCTCTGATTAGATACAGTATATGTAAAATACCTACCACAGTGCCTGTAACACATAGGCACTGAGCGCTGGGCGACCCAAATTGAGCTAGATTGATTTGGACTGAATTGAATTATACTTGCATATTTTTCTGGCTAGAACTTTCCAGTTAAATTAATAGAATCTGTTTTAAACTCATATAATAGACCAATAGAGCACACAAATAGTCAAATTTAATAATGTTTAAACCAAGAATGAGTGCAAACCAGGGAATTCACAGCAAAAGTACAGTATCGTTATTACCATATTTTCCAACATAAAATGTGATCTTTTCTAAATACTGTGTGAGGAGTTATGAAGAAATTTTGGAAATCCTTTTTAACATACTCTCCAGCATGTGCAATGATATCCCCTTATATTTCTTGCCTCTGGGAAGACTAACAACCCCATGTCACAGACCAAGCATTTCAAAGCAGACACATTGTAGACAGGACGCTTGGGGGAATGCATTTTATATAAAAATATGTTAACTTAATACTGAAATAATCAATTAGCCTCCAAACTATGCACAAAGATGTTCATCACACCATTAGCCTTAAAAAAGTGAAGTGCCAAATAACCAAACAATAGGGATTGATTATATGATTATATATCCATAGAGTAGTAAAGTGTGCAGCTATTAAAAAATAATGCTGATGACATTGTCAGCAAGAAAAACTTGTATGCTTTAATTTAAATGAAGAAAAAAGCAACAGCCAAATTTGTAAATATAGTTTGACCCAACTAAAAAAATCTACGTAGAGGCAAAAAGATTGGAAGAAAACAAACTAAAATTGTTGCTAGTGAATAATATCAGCCATCATTTTTTCCGCTTTACAATTATCGGTGTTTTCCAATATTTCTACAATGTGCATATTACTTTTATAATCGGAAAAAAAAATGTTAACCCAAAATTAAATCTCATAATAGGCATTCCGATCCGAACAACCTTGGACAACTCGACAACTGTTCAATATGCAGGTCTTCTCCATCAGCTGACAATGAAAGCCAAGAGCACAGTCCGTGATATTGATCCTCAGAACGACCTCACTTTTCTTAGGATCAGATCGAAGAAGCATGAAATCATGGTAGCTCCAGGTAATATGGCATTTCATTTCATATTTAAAGTATCTTTCTACCTTACTGACAAAAGCCTTGTTTCAAAGAATGGGGAGTATAGATTTTAATATACAGCATGAAACATAATATTCTTTGATTACAAAGTGAAGATGTTTGAATCTGAAAATTCCAGCCTGCGGGCCGGGCCGGTGGCGCACTGGATAAGTGCGCTGCTTGGGAAGCGCGGCGGCGCTCCCGCCCAAGGGTTCGGATCCCACATACAGACCGGTTCCCGCTCACTGGCTGAGCGAGGCACGGGGGCAACACCGAGGGTTGCAATCCCGTTGCCGGTCCCCGGTCCGGTACGGGGGCAACACTGAGGGTTGCGATCCGTTGCCAGACATGGAAAAA